CATTGGAAGTCTTTGCACAGTTATGGCACTATGGTGTGATTGGAATAACAGAGACTTAGCAGGAGCTCAAATGTCTGGAGCACTGCCAAGGATGGGTATAAACTGTTTGGGAAGCACAGGGAAGGGAAGAAGAGGAGGAGTTGCACTTCATGTAAAAAAGAGCCATAAGATTGCTCAGAGCTCCAGTACAAAACTGGAGATAAGCCTGTCAAAAGTCTCTTGCTTAGGGTCAGAGGAGACAGCAACAAGGGTGATGCTGTGGTGGGGGTCTGCTATAGACCACCAGACCAGAAGGAAGTGGTGGATGAGACTTTCTTCAAACAGCTAGTGGAATTTTCCTGATTACAGGCCCTGGTTCTCATGGAGGACCTCAAATCACCCTGACATCTGCTGGGAGGGCAATACAGCAGTGTGCAGGCAATTCAGGAAGTTTTTGCGGTGTTGGGGACAACTTCCTGGTACAAGTGTTAGAGAGACCAAATAGGGGTCATGCTCTTCTTGACCTGCTGCTCACAAACAAAGAAGAATTGGTAGGGAATGTAGTAATGGATGGTAACTTGGGTAGCAGTGACCATGAGATGACTGAGCTGCTGGCCATCATCTTTGAAAACTCATGGGGATCAGGAGAGGTCCTGGATGATTGGAAAAGGGCAAACATAGTGCCCATATTTAAGAAAGGGAAAAAGGAGGATCCAGGAAACTACAGACCAGTCAGCCTCACCTCAGTCCCTGGAAAAATCATGGAGCAGGTCCACAAGGAATCCATTTCTAATCACTTGGAAAAGGAGAAAGTGATTCGGAACAGTTAGCATGGATTCACCAAGGGCAAGTCATGCCTGACCAACCTGATTGCCTTCTATGATGAGATGACTGCTCTGTGGATGCAGGGAGGCCAGTGGATGTGGCATACCTTGATTTTAGCAAGGCTTTTGATACGGTCTCCCACAACATTCATGCAGGCAAGCTAAGGAAGTACAGGCTGGATGAATGGACTGTAAGGTGGACAGAAAATTGGCTGGAGCACTGGACTCAGAGGGTAGTGATTAATGGCTTGATGTCTAGCTGGCAGCTGGTATCAAGTGCAGTTCCCAGGGGCTGGTTTTGTTCAATATCTTCATCAACCACCTGGAAGATGGCTTAAAGTGCACCCTCAACAAGTCTGCAGATGACACCAAGCTGGGGGAGAGTAGTAGATATGCTCGAGGGTAGGGCTGGATTTGGAGTGACTTAGACAAATAGGAGGATTGGGCCAAAAACAATCTCATGAGGTTCAACAAAGACAAATGCAAAGTCCTGCACTTAGGACAGAACAAGCCCATACACCAGTACAGGTTGGGGGCTGCCTGGGCAGCAGCTCTGCAGAAGAGGACCTGGGGGTTACAGTGGACAGTAAGCTGAATATGAGCCAACAGTGTGCCCTTGTTGCCAAAGAAGGATAATGGCATACTGGGCTGCATTGGTA